TATATTGCATCAGCTAAAGCTCTTTCTGGAGTGTCGGTCCATTCCAAAATTTTTTTTGCCCAATACATGCGAAGAAATCCATGCATCTTACCATCCTTTACTAATTGTATTTGTGCAGAATTCCATAAATCGTCATGTGTGCGTGATTTCTCTAACTCTTCTCGAGTGTACACATACTTTCGTTTATCTTTTCTGTAAAAATATATAAATAAATTGTTATAAACATTTATTTAAGGTGAGATCCAATGAAGTTAATTGAAAAAAACATGCCTATGGTCATTTAGGGTGGTTATAGCCCAGCTTGATGCTCCTTCAATACTGTCATACTTAGGGTTATAGAAACAAAAATTGTCAGAGAGTTCTCTACGAACAATAGCTTCTTCTCTGTATGCTGCAACAGCTTCTGGAAACTTTTTAGACAATTTACTTACTTCTAAAATACATCTTTGAGCTGATATCTGACCTGAAAATAACATGTGTGTTGATTAAAAAGATTTCATTATTATCTTCATACTCACCAAAATGCAACCAGGGTGAAAGTTTACTAAGACCATCTTTTAATGGATTATTGCGATCTGAAGAATATTTTGCTAATCTTTTCTGAATAAAATTTTCTAGTTCATTCATACCAGCCTTGTAACCTGCTTTTAGGCCTGGTACAGGTAAAACTGTGCGATCTACTTCAAGAGTTTTGTCGGCTTCATCCCAATTGGTAGGCTAAGATTAAATAAATAATTTTTGTTTGTTTATTATGCACTTGATTTATTATTGTACAACATACTTGAGCTTTTAGTTTACCACTGAATGGATGTTTGATAACTGGTGGAAATTCTGTTAAATATTCTGGTAGTTTGTTATTGATTTTGTTACGTATTGTTCTTGCAGCATATTCTTGCTTATCAGATGCTACCCAACAGGGCACAATGTTATGGGCGTCAACTTGAATAACTGGAACAACAGATCCAATACGTTCAGCTAATTGTTGAGTCCATAACATATGTTCTCGAACAGGCATAAAATCTACAACGATAGCACCCAACTTATGCTTCTTGACAAAATCTGGAAGTATGTCTGCTGCACAACCAATTAAGAAATGGAATTGAATATTTAAATTATTGCATTCGGATTCTAATTCTTCTAAACCTGCAAATGAAAAGATTGTTTTTATTAAAATGATGGTATTATTATAAAAAAAATTATTACAAAACATTGAAATGTAATTAAATAAACTATTATTATGATATATGAATATAATATTTGATTTATGATATGAAATTTAGGGTTTTTCAATACATTCAAAATATGCTTCACAATAAGAAATTTAACAGAGTAAATGTGTTATATGTTATTTAAAATATATAAAGTAATGAATAACTTAATATATTGTTATTTGTTTTAATTTAATAGTTATAAATATATATTTTAATATAGTACTAATACTTAAGTTTTTGAAGACTATGGTAATTAAATGTAAACTTTTAAGAGTAAATAAATCAAAATATAATTTGGTACCTATTTAATTTATAATAGCATCTAGCATTATTGTGTTTAAAATTACTTTTATTAAATTAAAAGGTAGAAATATCTAATATTTTTTGTTCAAAATATAAACAAAATTACTATCAGAAGTACAACATGTATTATTTTACCTTGAAAAATATGTTTGTAATGTCGTAAACTACAGTCCAAAAATTTTTGTAGTCGACAAAAAGTAATATGTAGTGAAATTTTGTTTTTAATGGCTAATTTTTGTGCAAACAGCAATGCCCAGTTATCTATAATAAATTAATAGATGATACTAAATTAAAAAATTAATTTTAGTCTTGTATAGTTTACACATATTTAAATCAATTTTTTTTACCATGAACACGTTCATCTCGAAAAGTCCAGTAGATAACTCCATCAGCCCATTCAGGAACTTCTTTCATTTTAGATAATACTCTCAAACGTTTCTTATTAAATTTAAAATCCATTATCGAAGTGGCTACCTATAAAATATAAAATTTTGTCTGTATACAATTAACTAACATTTATATTTAGGGTTTACTCACCTTTTTACGCTCATTAGCCACATCTTTTAAGAAGTCACTATTCTTGGAACTGCTAATATCTGTACTAGGTTTCTTAAGCTTTTTAGTTGGAGGTGAACCATCAGACATTTTAATAATATACTGAAATCAATTGTTTTTCGATAGTTTGGCTATAGGATTATTTTTTATTTATAATAATAATGACATTAATAATTATATAATTGTTTTATGATTTTATTAAACTATTTTTAGTAAGAGCTGATTTATCTTCTTAATATAATTTAACTTATACATATTAAATTGGCTAAATTTAAAAAACATATTTATATTGTAACCTTTAGCTTAACACATATAAATTTATCAAATTGTATTATAAAATATTAAGCATTATCATCCTCATTTTTTTTTTAGAAAATAATTTATAATTTTCCTTTAAATTGGATATTGTCAAGCAATATTAAGTAACTACTAAGGAAAAAAATATAGAAGTACTATAATTTAAAGTTTATTAAGTAAGCATAATTTAGCATCTATGGTTAAAATAAGAATACCTAAACAATTTTTTCTTTGATTTTATTGAACCATTCAATGATGTTAAATGGTATATTTCACATTATATATTAATTCAATTATTATATTTATTTAACAAATAACGTTCAGATATATAGTTTATAATAGCAAAAGAAATCAGTACTTCTGTTTCTTATTTCAAATTGATTCACCAATAACCTATAGAATGTACCCGTTTAGGACAAAAAAAAAGAACTTGAACAATTGTAATTATTATTTTTTTTTTTTTTTTAGAAAGTTCAAAGAAATTTACTTTTGACTTTGAGATTGAAAAATATAAATTGTCAAACACTACGTACTTTTCAATTGATTTTAAATTTGGTAACGTTAATATTAGTGTACATTTGATACTTATCTATATAGAACCGGCAAATCAAATTCTATACAAGTAGAACACCAACAAAAGCAATATATCAACTTTGAGGTTATGTCTATAATATATTATGCTTTAAGATTTGTAAAACTATTTTAATCCGTGTAAAATAAGTTGTTTTAAATAACCACTAATTACATTATTAATGTTAAATTGGAAAATAATAATATTAATGAACCGATGAATAATAATTTTTATTCGGTAAGTACGTATGTAAGAGAGTGGAGAGTGTCACCGGTAACTTTTCATCTTTGAGAAAAATAGTACCTACAACCTTTTTCATTTTTACTTAAAACGAAAATATGTTGTAATATTTTAATGAATTTAAAGATTCTTTAGTTTTAATATAAATAAAACTATTTTTATTAAGTTTTTTCTGATCTACAATTTTGTTTTAAAATGTGGTAGCTTCAAATATTTGAAAAATAGAATAAGCATTATTTCGCAATATTTATTGTGGATACATTTAAGAACACTGATGAGCAGTGCCGCAAAAACCGAGTGTGCAGTGTGTCTTGCACACGGGTCCCAAGGCTTACATAAATTTGGGGGACTCCCTAGTCCCAGCCTGAAATAAACTACACTTTACAAACACACAATTATTTAATAATAAAAAGAAAATTTTTTAAAATTCAGGTAAGGTTGTTATAACATTTTAGAATAATATAATATTTATTCAACAATAAGTCCATTGAGTATTTGAGTAGGCATACAACAGACCTACCTAAATTACTTAAATAAATTTACTACATAAATATGTAGTGAAATATAATATACAATAGTTATGGGTATTTAGTTTGATATACATATATCATACACTAACTGATGTGAAATGTGTTTTAAAACCTAAAAAAATTAATACTTAAATTGAACAAAAATAAATCTTAGGAAGGGACCCAATATAATTACCGCACACAGGCCTCCTATTTTGTAGTTGTGGCACTGCTGATGAGCAAAGGTGGGCAAGTTAATGAAAATAATTAACTGGTTAGTTAAGTTAATTCAATTAAATTTCCTTCAGTTAAAGTTAAAAGTTAATAAAAAAGAAAAGTAACTCGATAAGATAAAAGTTAAGATAGAAAATAAAATTAAATTAACTCAATTAAAAAAAGTTAATTTTTCTAATATCATATGTTATACTTTTATTTATAACGAATACGCAGAATACTGAAATATAAATTATAATTTATAAATTTCCCGGACGACTTTTTGTTTTTTCCATTGGAATTGTTGTATTTACCAGCAGGTGCCTGTGTTATTAATATTCAATTTTAACTTTACACTTTTAAAAGACTATGCTATTTATTTTTGTACCTGTTTTTAGAACTACACTGTAGAGTTTAACTAAACAAAAATCGTATTATTCAATACTGAATAGATCATTAAATAGAGCTCGTGAAAATAGCAAGTCTATACAATAGATAGAATATTAATTATTACTATTTACTATAGTATCTATAGATTAAAATATAATTTGATTATTATCAATTGAGGATATTACGTTATTATATTAGAAAAATAAATTATCAAAATCGAAAGAATAAATTTTGTCTGATGGTTCCATGTGATAAAAAAAAAATTAAAATTAACTTAACTGTACAACAACGATAATTAACTATAAAAAGTTAAGTTAAAACAATAAAAAAAGTAACTGAATAAGTTAAAAACAAAAAATAACTAACTAGTTAAGTTATAAAGTTTAAAAAAAATTAAATTTTTAACAAATTAATGCCCATCATTGCTGATGAGTCACTTCAAATAAAAAAAAAACATACAAATTAATTTAGTGTAAAAAAATTTGACTATAGTAGTCAAGTCTCATGAAAATAGCTTATGGTAACAAATGAGCCAAAAATAAATTAAAAATTAATATTTCCTTCTCATTTACATTTTCAGTCATATAAAACTAAGATATACCGTCATAATATTATATTATATTGAAAAGTATGGTACCTATATCAATTATTAAACAAAAATTATGAACGTTTAGAAAATTGTTCATAAAATAAACTGTAAAAATTATTTTGGTTCTTATTTTGTTAAAAAAATAGGAGATTAATGTAACACAGTTCCTTATTTAATTAAGTGATGAAATGATAGCACAGGTACCAATAACTATTGTATTAAAAATTCTTGTGCATTGTACAATATATTTAATATATCAAATGTTAATTAATTTGTAGTGTATTAATGAAAAATAATTAAATATAAATAAGATTTTACGCAGCTTTAAAACTTGGAATCTTATATAAAAATAAATGTATACTAACATTTTAATACAAACATACAACATGTAATATTTATAGTTAAAATAAATTAATAATTAATTTAGTAAACAATATCACTGATTCTTAAAGACACGGTACTGACAAAAAAAATCCTGAGTAATTGATTTTAAAAATAATACTGTTTTGTTAAAAATAAATTAAAAATGAAGAAAAGTTTACAATTTTAAAATTATAATGTTGTAAAAAATATCATTAATTATAAATAATAATTATGAAAATACAATTTATTTTTTAATATACTTGTGAACCATGCCACCATATCTGACAATAAAAGCATTTATATCAAACTTTCTTTTACAACCATCGTAATTCATAAATCTTATTTTCCCAAAAATTTCTCTTTCCTTCCATCCTTGGTCATGAATACCACAAATTGACCACATACATCCAACAAATCCACTTGGATCACGACCATCCATGCTGTATTTGTCATTCAGGTATATTGCATCAGCTAAAGCTCTTTCTGGAGTGTCGGTCCATTCCAA